CGGGGTGAGTTCCCCCATCGGTGTGGGGTGTGGAGCCCTCACGGTGACACCCTCAGCCCTAACCCTCAGCATCCCGCGCTGAGCTCTGAGGTGCCTCGTTCTGTCGCTCGATCGGTATTTCTGCTGAGGTATCTCCGTGTGCCGCTTGGTGGGTGTTTTTCTGCTGAGATGCCTCGTTGCGTCGCTTAATCGCTGTGTTTCTGCCCGTTAAATGCAGCAATAATTGTGCCTTTGGCTGGGCGTTCTTGGTTTGGGGCTCTGAGGTTGTGTGCTGCACAAAAGAGCAAGTCACGTCCTTTGTTTCTGAAGGTTCTGCACCGAAACTGGTTCCCTCAGGGACTGGGGGAAGAGGAGGAAGAGAAGGTTCGTTCCAGCCTGGCACAATGGGGTCCAAGCAGATCGCACAGGAAACCTTTGATGATGCAGTGCAGGAAAACATCGCAGAGTTCGAGATGGACCCGGAGGAGGCTGTGAGAGAAGCTGTGCAGCAGTTTGAGTCTCAAGGTACTGTGGGCGTTCAGCTGCTTCTGCAGGTCGGGGTGGGACAGGCTGAGGGTTTAGCACAACCTGCGTGCGAGGAATGAGCAGACACTGTTGGAAAAAAGCTTCTGCAAAGTGGAGCAGAGACACTGTCAATGCTGACCTGGTTTCAGGGAGTGATTATGATTGGGAAACTGCAGAGGGAAATGTGGTCAGTGAAATGAAGCTCCTTTTTGTCTTCTACAGTTGGCATTTAGTCAACTAGTCCCTAATATAGTCCCCAAGTTCCAGGATAGATTTGACCATTATAGTCGCAGCATAACATATCACCATCTCTGCATTGATTTCTACAAGTTCCTCTTTGTCCACTGTGGTTAACTTGGTAGATTTAACCCAAAATCTGTACCTAATGCTGTTTGTTTTACTGTAATTATCCTGTAATTGCTATTAATCTTGGTTTTCTGTTCCATTTTAGGTGTGGACCTGAGCAATATTGTGAAAGCTGTTCGGTCACCTTCCTCAGAGAATGGGCAGAGGCAAAAGCACGAGATTCTCCTGGTAGGAGCACAAATGGATGTTGGTTTTGAGCAGGGTTATAGAAGAGTGTCAGTAGTAGGCCAAGAATAATGTCCCAACCTTGGTAATGTTCACTCCAGGTTGGATAAAGCCTTGAGCAACCTGCTTTGCTGGGAGATGTCCCTCCCCAGGGCAGGGGGTTGGGACTAGATGATCCCTAAGGTCCATTCCAACCCCTCACCATACTAAGAATCCATGGCAGTGGTGGCAGCAGCATGGAGAAGCCTCTGGTCCTCCAAGGCTTCTGTGCACCAGGACAACCCAAGCAATGGCTTAGATACCTCCAGCTGATTCCGAATTTGAGACTGTTTTGATAAAATAAATGTAGCTGACTATAAAGAGCTGCTTCTGTTCCTCCCAGGAAAGGCAAACTAACTCCTGCTCTCTCCCCCAGACCCTGGATTCCCTGGGAAGGGCCGTGGATGCCTCAGCCCTGGCAGAGCTGCCTGAGCAGCTCCAAACCTTCACGGAGCAGTGCCGGGAGCAGTTAGCCTTCCGCTACCTGGCCGGGCAGAACGGCGCTTACTCCGTGGTGTTCTCTGCCTGCCAGCTGGCTCTGGGAGACAGGAATTTACTGCTCCAAGCCTTCTCCACCCTGTCTGCCTTGCTGGATGGGCAGCCAGACCTGCTGGACTCAGCCGGGCAGGAGCTGCTGCTGCAGATGCTGCGGGAGCGGCGTGAGGACGCGGAGGTGACGCTGGTCGGGATCCGCTGCGTGCGACACGCGTGTCTGAAGCACGAGCAGAACAGGCAGGACTTTGTCAAGGGAGGGATTCTGCCCCTCCTCACTGGAGCCATCATCCAGCATGGGGACAGTGCTGACGTGGTCAGGACAGCAGCCTCAGCCCTCAGGGTCATGACCTTCGATGATGACATCCGTGTGCCCTTCGGTCATGCCCATGATCATGCTAAAATGATTGTGTTGGAAAATGATGGGTTGAGAGTCCTCATTGAAGCTGCAAAAGGTAAAGTTAACCCCCATGGCTGGGGATGCTAATTGGGAATCATCTGTGTGTGGTTTCTTCTCACAAAAGCATTTGGTTGTGACTTGAAGCTCCTCAGAGGTGACTGAGAAATTTGCCATTGAAATGGTGTTTAATTCTAGTGAGGAAATGTGGCCTGAGACAATGAGTCTGACTGGGTAGCACTGAAGGGGCTCAGCTATTTGTCACTGTGTTGAGGAAGTGCTTTACAGCCCAGTGCAGGTTTGCAGCATGTTATGCCTGCCGAGGAGCTTCTTGCCAAGAAAAGACACTCTGACTTTGTCTGCAGACAGAGTGAACAGGTGTCATCTCTCCTCTTTTAATTTGTTAAATGAAATATGCTGTTCCCTGGTATTTTTTAATGAAGCAAAGGAAAACCCCCTTCATTCTGCTCACCCTCCCTGCTCACAGCTGCTCTGATCTCTCCTCTGCAGCCTTCACAGACAACTCCAGTGTCCTCAGTGAGCTCTGCGCCACCCTCTCTCGCCTCTCTGTCAGGAATGAGTTCTGCCAAGAGATTGTGGACCTTGGGGGCTTGAATTTTATGGTGACTCTCCTGGCTGACTGCATGGACCACCCGGTGAGCCCTCTGGAATGTTCTGGGAGCAGAGGGAGCACAGTGGGATGTGCTCTTCATTCTGAAGTGAATGAGCCTTAGCCTATGCAATATTTAAGGTGCAACTAAGGTTGAAACACAACTTCAGATCCAGATTTGCAGCCTTGTATAGAGAATCAGGTTATATGTGCTCTGCAGGTAAGAGTTGTGAGCCTCTTGCTCATGGTTATTCTTCCGTGCTCCATGAGCAGAGCTCTGCTAGCTCCCAGGGAAGCTGAGTGTGTGGTTTTCCACCATTCTAGAAGAGATTCATGAGGTTTAGATGCTCAAGGCCCAGAGGTTGATACTTGATTCTTCAAGCTTCTTTGACAGCATTTGCCAAACCACCAAGGTCTTTTATTACTCTGTGCAGCAAGAAAGTATCTTAGTATCACAGTATGTTCAAGGGTTGGAATGGACCTTAGAGGTCCAGTGACTGAGAGTTGCTCTTCCTAGCTGAGAATTCCAACTGTTCGCATGGAATTGCTGGGGGAAGTTGTGCTTTGCTTTCTCAAGAGTCTGTAATGATCCCTGCAGCTCTCTAAGTGTTTGTTGTTGGTGGGGCAGGACGTGGTGAAGCAGGTGCTCAGTGCCATCCGCGCCGTGGCTGGCAACGACGACGTCAAAGATGCCATTGTGGACGCTGGGGGAACTGACCTCATTGTCCTTGCCATCAGCCACCACCTGGCCAACCCTCAGGTACCACCTGGGAGTGCAGCTCGGGCTGGATGATGTGTGTTTGTGACTGAGTAGTGTGTCCCACATTGAATGTCCTGTTGGTGTAGAGAGCTTGAGTGTGAATGTTCTGGTGTGTCCACTCTGTATTGGGGTTTTGCCTTGTTCCTGAAGCAGGTGGATATTGGATATAGTGTTTTGTGCCTCTAGGGTGTAAAACATAGGATCATTAAGGTTGGAAGAGAACTTTAAGACCATCAAGTCCAACCATCCACTTGGCACTACCACTGTAACCCTTGAACCACATCACCCAGATCCATACACCTCTTCGACACCTCCAGGGATGGTGATTCCAACTATTCCAATGCTTGAACACAGAATTCTATGAGAATAAAATCATTAAGATTGGCAAATGCTTCCAAGACCATCACATCCAACCTTCAGCTTGGTTTACACACCAAAGCAGCAGGATGTTCCCCTGAAAAAAAACAAAAAATCACCATCAAATAGAACAAACTCCATTTTTATTTCCCTCAGAGCCATGTTTTCAGGCAGTGAGTGTCTCCCTCCCTGTCCTGCAGATCTGTGAGCAGGGCTGTGCAGCCTTGTGCGTGTTGGCTCTGCGGAAGCCTGAGAACTGTGGTGTCATCATGGAAGGTGGTGGAGCCTTGGCAGCACTGCAGGCCATGAAAGCTCACCCACGAGAAGTGGCTGTACAGGTATGTGCTCAGAGCTCCTCACTATTTAGCAGGATGGGTGTTGGCTGTGTTAGCTGCTTCCTTAGGTTTTTGTCCTTGTCAAATTCCCTAAGGTTTTGAGGGTGTTGGGAGTGCAGTGACTAAATGCAGGACAACATCTGTCATCATGATCAGAGCACAACTTAGCTTGGGTTTCAAATCCGCCTGAATGCAGGTTCAAGCGGCTGTGGAATGCCACACTTCTCTTTCAAGCATTGCTTTTCCTCCTCCTGGAAAGAGCAGGATGAGGATAAGCTCTTTCAGACCCAACTTGTGCCATCCAGGGCCAAATAAAACACCTGCATAGCAAGAAAGTAACTGCTGGTTTCTCATGCAAATCTCAATAGGTTCTGTGGCCACTTTAGTGATCCTCAGGGTATTAAAATACCATCAAAAATATATGCCAAAGGAGGAGTTTAAACTAAGTGCTAGGGAAGGTGCCTGGAGCAGCATAGGACAGTCCACAATCTGCAGCATAGGAAGGGTGGAAAGGTGGGGAGAATTCTGTCTTAGTGTTATTGAAGGAATTAGTTGGTATTCCCTGGCTGGTGTTTGGGATTTGCAGAGAAACAGGAGCTTGAGTTGGATAACCCTCCACAGGAAATAGCAGCCATACCTTTGTGCATGGATTTTATTCTTCCAGCAAATAGTTTGTTGCTGATCTTTGACTTCCCAGAACAGATTCCTCAGCTGGAGGCAGATCTGTGTGTGCTGCAGCATCCTACAGGGATGGTATTTCCCTGCTGACGTGTGTCCTGACCTCTGTCCCCAGAAACAGGCCTGCATGCTGATCCGTAACCTGGTGTCCCGGAGCAGGGACTTCTCCCAGCCCATCCTGGACATGGGAGCTGAGAACCTCATCACAGAAGCTCGTGCAGCTCACCGGGACTGCGACGACGTGGCCAAAGCTGCCCTGAGGGATCTGGGCTGCAAGGTGGAGCTGAGAGAGCTGTGGACAGGCCAGAAGGGGAGCCTGGCTCAGTGACACAGCTCTGCTCCCCAGGGGGAAAACGTGGCATGGATTAATCTGCACTGACACCCAGCTGGAATATCTGAAGCAAATGCCTGGCTTGGGAGGCTGCAGGGAACTCTTTCTCGGGAGCTACAGCTGAAATGGCTTTATGCATTCACAGGCTGCAAATCCACTCTGTGTAGTGATCATGCCCTGGATCATCTAATGCCTGAAGATGATCTGCTCCCCCTGTTATCCCTGCTCCTCGTGTCATCAAAACTGGGAATAAAACTCCCTGGCAGCAATGCAGTATTAAGCAGCAGAATTCCTTTATTGCAGCTCTGGATGCTCCTAAAGTGCATCCCAACTTTTTACCAGCTGTACATTTCAGCAAGCAGAGGAGTTAGTGCTCATTGGTTACAAGTTAATCCTTCTTGATTAATACTCTCTCATCTATTGGTTAGTGATTCCTTGCTTTTTATGCTAATTATTCATGAACTCATTACCATAATCCTGCCCTAATTATTCTTGCTTTTTATGCTAATTATTCATGAAATCATTACCATAATCCCGCCCTAATTATCATACCCCCTCCCCTTTACATTTAATTGAGGTGGTGATCTTTGAGGGTCTTCTGCAACCCATGGTGGTCATTTTTTATTCTATCCTTTGGTTGGACCTTTGCTCTTGGCCACAGGTCCTCCTTGGAATGTTCCTTATCAGGTGTTTTGCTAAGCCTGCTTGAATTTAATGATCAGCCTGTCCCTCCCGTACCAAATCAAGGCCTAATCCACAGATATGTAGATCTTAATTGTGTCTAATGAGTGTCCAAATGGCCATGGTTGTTTTTGCATCTGGTTACACTTGTGGCTGCTCCCACGTGCTCTGCTCTGTGCAGTGAGAGCAGAAGATTTCTGGGCAGGATTTGATGCTGTGGCTGCTGATTCCCGTTTGTCCCTCTGCCCATGGAGCTTCACAGCCAGTCACGGGATGGATGAGGAGAAATCCCATCGTTTGTGAGTGTGTCCTGTCCTGTTGTCCTGCTATCCTGTTATTTTCCTGCTGCCCATCCTCTGTGCTGCTGCTTTGTTTGGGGTTTTCAGCCAACAGAACATTTTCAACAATAGCAAAGTAAGGATTTGGGATAATATGGCCCAAAGGAATGTTCTTTATGATGTTGCCATTGGCATCCAGGAGGAAAGTTCATGTTCTCTCTCAGTGGGATGAGCAGGTTGGGGACTGGGAATGGGAGTTTCAGAGCTGGGATAAGCTGGAAGCACTGGGAAGCTCAGGCTTTGTCATCTCTTCACTGGACAGCACTTCCC